TCACATGTATCTCAGAAATTTTTTTAAGAGGTCAACCAACATAGAATTACTCTAAGCAAAATACGCTTAATTATGGAGTTCCTATGATTGAACTACCGAAAATGAAGGTGCACCTTGTTTGTATAAGCAGTAACTTTCTGTAACGACCCGAAATTTTCTACTTAATTTAAGGTCGCTACTGTATACATACCATAAACATTGAATGCAGAAGACTTCATTTAAATTCCATAAAACATAACCTTAAAACACAGCCATGGACTTATGTGTTTAGAAAACATCTTTAAAACGACACAACAAAAGACCCGAAATAAAATAAATAAGCGTTTAAGTTTAAAACATCCTATTCTATCCCAAGTCTAAGAAAATAAATACCACTATCCTATGCATGTGCCATGATCTCGAGTTGCGATGCCGTCGTCAGCCGTACAGGAATGCCTTGCCTTAACCTGAAAAATGTAGTAGCACATGACTTGAGTATTTAAAGAAATACTCGGTAAGTGGCCCCACTATTGGGGTTAAATGCAACAATCACATGCAATGGAATGATGGGACCTATCTTTCGTTTCGTTTCATTTCGTTTTCCCTACGGTGTAATCCTAACAGGTAATCGTGGACGTGTACCATATACTCTACACGCAACCCATACGTGCGAGTATGGGCTCACCAGCTAGTTCGCACACCGCTGGGCCACTGTCCCTAGCCGGTGGGCATGCTCTGAGGGCCTACCCGGACCCGTTAAAACTAAAACCGTCACGGCAGCGTTATGCAGGGCATAACGATCGTTGACCTGTCATTTGGATGTATGCGTCCGTACCCTCGTGATGGGATAGGGGTATCCCCCCAAATGCATGATCACACAATATGCATGAGGTCCCACTAATCCTACAGTCATCATTTAATGAACATAACCTCGTGTCACGTTTTCATGCTTACATGTCATTCTCATTCTCATTTCGTTATATATCATACATATTCCTAGCAGGGTTATGTATCATGCAATTTATCGTATTTCATGTCATACAATTCATTCAGTTACATTCCAATACTCATACAACAAGCCATAATCGTACAAGGGCCACACATCGTCACATGCATTCATATCACATCAACTAAGCAGCATAAATAACATACATTCACGTTCACATGATTTCGTACTTAAGCACAATAATCTAGCATACAATGTATCATATCATAACCAAGTCATAACGTAAACACTTCATAGTCATATCGTTCTCTAACTTACCATAGCCTTCACGTTCTTATACCTATCACAGATATATCATTACGTGACGTACCTTAGTCATATCGTCACAAGAATGTACCCTAACGCTATCGTTCTATCAATCTATCACAAACCTATCCCTTTCTACCCATAACCTAACCGTATTCTTTCATCAATCTCTCCTATCCATAGCACTCCGGTATGTAACCTAACTCTAACGTTTCATGAACGTATCTTACTCCTATCGTTACATTTCGTTTTGTGCATCCTTCTCGTACCCTATCTCAAACATATCCTTGAGCACATCGTACCATAATTATTATCATACAAACCACATATTATAACATAACATAACATATAAGAAGCATATCGATCCACAGACAATTCACACATATCAATATATATGATACGTACAGAACCACAGAGCACGTGTCAACATCAAATATAACCATGCCGATAGTAAGGTCACTTACCTGGCTCGCTTAAGTCATTGTCACAAATATATCTTTAATGAAAGTTCGATTCCGTCCTTTGAAATCCGAGTCAACTTATATGAGCTCATGAGATCAGTTTCAAGTTTGAACTCTAAAAAATTATTTCCCTAATTTACCTATCTCCTTTTATTGTTAAATACTATTTAACAAATCTTTCCTCAATCTCCCTCCCTCTCTCCCTTTTCATTCTGTAATTTTTTTTTCATTATGTAATTAGTTTTTCAATTGTGTAGACAGATATTACTGGCCAAGTTTAAGTACCGGCTAGTTTAGAGATCTGACACCTAATAATTATATATGGGATCTGATTGTTACAGACGGTAAGAGGAAAGAAGATTTGATCCTAAATTAATTTGTTATAACCATCACTATACAAGAAAAGGAAATCTGAGATGGATATTACCGTAATAAATGACAAACTCTGAATCTGTAATCTGTTGAAAGTCATTTTACTTCTCAAATCTGAAGTTATTGTTTTTCTGTTTTTACTTCTCAAATCTGAAGTTGTTTTTCTGTTTTTTTTTGCAGTTGGTGTGGGTGGAGGAGAGATAATTGTGGGAAGGGATGAGAGGTTAGTGGAGAGAGGTGGGGAAATGTTATTTATTTATTTATTATTATTATTTTAACTACCTTATTATAATTATTTTTATTTATTTATTTTTTATTTATTTTTGGCTATTACACTTTCATTTACTTGGACTCCTCTCGTTTGAATGTAGTCTTTAATTCATTCATATACAGGTCATTTACTCAGGTGTCACAATATATTACGAAAAGCATCGGAGACTGTCTACTTTTAACCGTGCTTATCTTCCTCCTTTTATAAGATATTATTAAAAAAAACTTCAAAAGATGTCTATTTTGTAAGGTTATCATAATTTTTTGAAAAATAACTTTTTATAAAATATTATTAAAAAAAACTTTGAAAGATGTCTACTTTTTTTTAAGGTTATCAGAATATTTAAAAAAATATGAACTTTTTATAAAAACAAATTATTTAAAAAGTTTATTACATTTTTGCTAATTAAAACACCAAAAAAATAAAAACGAACATAAAAATAGAATAATTGCCTTATGAATCATGATATTGGAGAAAAAAAAAAAAAAAACTCTACCAACCTACTAAAAAAGATAGATATTCGAGAGGAGATTTGGGTGACTAAAAAAGACAAAGGCTAAATGATGAAAATCGGATGAAATTTAAAGACACGCTCAAATTAAATATAAAATAAAATCTAAATATAAATTGATGTTATTTAAATTTGGGAAATAATTTCGGATACGATTACAAAACGAAATACAAAAGACTAAAAATATAAAGACGGACTAATGCTCTGGAATGACCTCCTTTGTATCCACGCAGCTCTCGAATGCTCCTCCACCTCGACTAGGA